TGTATGTATTTTTTTTAGTAAATATTTTTTTAAAGGAAAAAATTTGTTATAAATAAGTGATTTAAAATGTTACTAATAATTATAATTTGTAATTAGTTGTGTAGCATAATGATATGGATTTCGATGTAAAACGCCCTTAAGAGAAAAAATGGGAATTATAAATTTGAAAACATTGTAAATTGATAGTACAAGTACTGTAAAAGGGATGAAGAAACATGTGGGATATCTTAAGGTATTATAAAATGTCTTTTTATATCTTGTAAGCATTTTCTACTCGAGTTGTTTTGTGTCAATTCAATATGAATTTTGTTTTGTAGCACTGAAGAGGGGCTGGAAAATTAAACTTGCCCGAAATGCATCTGTAGAAAAACAATAAAGGAGTTTTATAATCTGTAGAGCTGTGAGAAAGTCTACCGAAAATTTGTTCGGATTGAAGAGACATTTACCTATTTAACACATAATACAGCTACCATTAGAAAATTCAACATGAATTAATTCAGATTGATAAAAATTTGTTTGTTATATAAAAACTTATTTCAGTTCACAAAAAACGTAATGATACTCTGTTACTAAAACAAATTCAGACATAATTCTTACAGTGTGCATAGATAAGAATTAGAAGTGCATTTAGTATCACATCATAGTAAGAAATATAATTTTGCGTTATTAAACGTAAATAGACCAGAATTTGACTAGCTTAAGATCGAGTTTATCGAGTCTCTTTCCGGTTTCCAAGTCCTGTGTCAAGACTCGAGTAACGAAAAAAACGACGCGCCCATTTTTATACTCTTTTAGAAACCTACAAGAAAACGATCAGAAGAAGTTTGTGTCAAGTGGCTGCTAATTATGTAACTCTGATTATTCAGATTGCAATATTTTACAAAATTTTATTTTTTGAATTATAGGACTAGCGATTTTACAATTTTTTTGTAAATTTTCTAAAATTAAGTTAAAGTTTATCATGTTTGTCACACTACTCTTTCAATAGTTATTTTTTACTTAACTTTATTCCAAATTGTTCTCTTTGTTTTCTATATATATTTTTCTCTGATTTTTCAGTCCCTATCTCCATTTGTTTTTCCCACTGTTCTATTTAGTTATCTTCTAGATGTTTATTATTTTACCATTTCCTTTGACACAATTTCATTTTCTATATTTTTGTATTCAATCATACCATTCTAGTTGACATCATTATTTTTTTTATATTTCCTATTTCTATAATGACATTATTCTTTACTTTTTTTCATAATTTTCCTACTGATTGACGTCAGAAATCCATTTCTAATATCATCTATGAGATTTCTCATTGAGATTAACACGTTTCAGCTGCACATTATATAATTGCACATCAGCCGTTTTATTGCTGTAAAAATATTTTTGCTTTGTTTCTCTTGATATGCTCTTTTTGCCTTTTGTAATCCTGTATTCAGTATACATTTTGAAAGATTATTTATTCCATTAGAAGAGAAGACATTGTAAAATATAGCATCCATTAGTAATTAGTGATCAACTGACAACTCAAGATAACAAATTACCTAAAATTGTGTCATATTAAATTTCTAAAGTAGTTCCGAATAAGTTTGAAATAATATGTTCTCTACCTCTTCAATTAACAATTAAAATATCTTATATACTTATAGCATTCCTAAACCCCTAATTTAATGGTTTAGGAATGGTTTATATGCTTATTAGATTAGGATGATTCCTAAACCATCACTCATCTAATAATCATAATTACTGTATTCAAATATCTTTGATTTCTAAACCACTAATGACTGATGATCGAGCTAGTCCCAATTGAAATGAAGTGTAAGAAGCATTTCCATCTCGACAATATAGAGGATGAAAGTAATATAACGTTGTGTTTAACATTATAAATACAGTATATACAAATCTTATGATAATAAAAAACTTTTAGATGTATCTTTTTAAAAAATCACTTCAAATGATATATTCTTTAAGACTTGTTCAGGGAAGTCATAAAACGGCGTTTATCGAAGCCATACTCTGATGTAAACTATTTTATGTGGACTTTGGTATCAGAAATATATGCTTGCAGACTAATAAAGATATTTTAGTAAAAATTGTGTACACATGATTTTTAATGCATTAGTTCATTTCATTAATATATTTAAAATGTTTACTAGTAAATAAAAAGGGCATGTTCGGTTTAAAGATTAAAATTAAAATTTATTTATTTGAAAATTATGTCTTAAAAGAGAAAAATTTGAATTTCTTGTAAACTATTTAATGATTTTATGTAGTAAAAATAATATATACTGTATAACAAATTTTGTTAACTGTTGCAATAGTAACAAAGCAACAAAATGTTTCTATATAAAAGAATTAGTCAAATACATTTCTGTTAAGCCTATACTAAAATTAAAACAATAAAATTTTCAGATAATGACTATGCATTTATTAAGTCTTTGAACTCAAGATTAAACTCTGAATTAAATGCAAATAAAAGAGTTATTTAGTGTTCTATCGTTCTCTGAGTTCCTTTGTGAATATAAATATTTAATCTATTGAATAAAGGTACAAAATGAATGACAGTAAATGATATCATATTATAAAGTGATATTTAAATAATATTTTATCATTGTATTTATACAGTACTTTTTCAAATATATTTTATCTGACAATATATAATGAGTCGTCCGAAAAAGCTAAAAACAAACAGAAGTATAGGCTATTTGGCACTTTTTCAAACTTTTAAAACTTGCAACCCACTGGACCTTTTAGAAGATAAAGCAATGAAATACTTTTAGTGTGTTTGCTCTTGCATTTGATACACCGCAATAAAGATTTATTGCTTATTTTTTAAAATTTATCCAAAATTTATGCTGAACCAGTGACAAATGCAAATGAAACAAGATAAAGACAGATAACGGTGGTTCTAAAACTATAATTAGTTTTCAAAAATGGCACCAAAACACAGGTTATTCGTTTTCAATCGCAAATACTGTAATGTATCTTTTTACTATCATTAAGAGTCAGAGTTCGAATATGATCTGGACTCTGATTTTTCATAAATAGTTCATCGTTCTTCATTCTTTACACATGCCAACGATCTCATTAATAATATGGCAAAATTGAGAACGGCCAGGTACCCTATTGTGCGCTCGTGCTTCTCGTCAACTAATCAAATCCAATCATCCGTTAATTTATAGAAATCTAAATTGACTTCGACTTTCTTTCCTTTAAAACATCAATGCTTACTATAAAATATATTAATTTTCCTCTTTAAAGAATTATAAAAATAATTTGGATTTATTACTTTCCAAACACCTAACAAAAGGAAAGTATGACGATCGGTCAAAAATTGACTCCCCCAAATTTTTACATTTTTGCACTTAGATCTTGAAACTTCGAGAAATGTAAAAAAAAAAAAAAATCGGGGTTTTTCCTGTATGTACACTATTTGTGTGTGGGGCGCAATTTTGTTCACCCTCTTTGAAGCTTAATAACTTCTGTGATTTTTGACAAAAATTTCTGAAATTTTGCTGATAAGTTCGTATATTGGCACTATTAATTTTGGTAATTAAAAGTTGAGGGGACAAGAAAATAAAAAGGGTCATGTGTATCTCCAGTAGGGTCAAAGTTAAAGACGATATTACTCGTGGTTAGCATATACAATTTTTTTTTAATTAAATATAAAATCTATTCCTATCTTCAAAATTAAGCTTTTTGCCATTTTATAATATCTAAAAATAGAAAAAGATTTTTAAACAAAATCTCATAACAGATGGCGCTACATACAATTTAAATGTTGCCAGGAAAGTTGAGAAACCCATTGCTGGATTATATATATATATATATATATATATGCTAATTGTCATTAAATGTAGAAAACTCAATTTATTTTATGAATGTTCTACTGAAAATTCAAATAAATCCATTTTATTGGAAATTTAATTTTGTTTGTTTCTTTTCATTGTTTTTTTGATCCACTTAACATAACTTGTTACTTTTGTATAGATACCAGGATACTTTACTTCAGCACAGCTTTTTCCAGATGAAACAATTCCAACTAAATACCAGATTCCTTTTTTCTTCATGACTAATGGTCCTCCACTATCTCCCTGGAAATATTTTTTGTTTAGAAATTTAAAAATTTATTTACATATATTTTAAATTAAACTGTTATAACAAACCTTGCAAGAATCAAGACGTCCTTCTTTATGGCCTGCACAAATCATTTTTTCGTTAATATCAAAAATATTCTTGTATAACTGTTTACATTTTTTATATGAGATAATTGGTACGGCTACTTGTTTCAGAACGTCAGGATAGCTAGTTCCTATAATTAACAGAAAAAGTTATTAAATAATGAATTATGTTGTATTTTCGAAAGAATTATTTCATCTTACCCAAAGTTTCGCCCCATCCAGTAACATAACAAATTGTACTTTTGGAAGGTGATTTTTTTGCCAAACATATTGGTTGAATGAATTTTGTGAATTGAACTGGAGCATTTAATTTAATCAATGCTATATCGTTGTCTTTGCTGTTAGCCTTTTCCTTTAGTTATATAGAGAATAATAAATAATTAATAGAAATTATCTATTTTTCTTTTTGAAACCGTGTCCTGTTTTATACTTGTGGCGTAATAAACACTAGTATTGTGTCTTTAGAATAAAACACAATATTAGTGTTTATTACGCCACAAGAAATTATCAAGTTGTTAAATTTCAGAAAGAATGTAAATAATAAAACTATACTTCTAATTTAAACCTCAATAGAAATAAAAAAATCCGGTTTTATGAAATTACTGAAGAAATTGGAATATAATCGAAACAGACAATTTTGAGAACTGGAAGTAACGCATACAGTTATTATTTTTTCTTCTGCGTTATTGTAATGACATTTTTTCCCTAATCTAATAAATTTTATCAAAAGCTTTAGTAACTTGTTGTTTCTTATTTTATTAATCGAGGATTATTATCCGACTTCGGGTATAAATGTTTGTGATTGTCTGATTTTTTATAAGGATTTCATTTTACAACACAGCTTTTGTGGTTATAACTGACATAGTTTTCATAAAAATAGATTGCGTCGCTATTCGACGAAAGTTCCATAAGATTGTAATGGAGCTGATAAACTCAGCCGCCTATATCTTTTCTATGTTTATATGTGTTTAGATAATAAATACAGTATTTATCATTATGTTTCAATTTCGTTACATATAGCCTATATGAGTAGTTGACATAATACCATACAGGTTTGTCTAATGTAAGTGCATTCTATAGTGTTCGCTTAAATTAAGGAAGACTTTCTCGGAAAGTATCATCGTCAAGCAGCATGCTACTGTAATATTTTTACAAATTTTATTTGATTACATTAATCGCTAAAATTATATTACGGAAAATTTATAATCTATAGAAAATGCATTTCTGTTTACGTTATTATGAATAGTGAAACGAAATAGTTAATATTATTAAAATCGAATTAATAGTAATTCAGAAGATAAATTGTCTTTCTTTATAAACAACCTAAGTGTTCAAAAGATGTGCATTAGTACAGGATAATCATAATATTAAACAGTAAATTTTCAGAACTTTCCGTAGAAAGAATTGTTGGGCAAATTTCAACTAAATTTGGTATATATGCTGTCCCTAGTATTCGGTTTCGATTTTTAGAAGTTACTTCAAAATTCAACCGCCAGGGTAAAATTTGGAGCTACTTTCTGCTTAATGTACAGCATATTTTACGTACGTTTTCTAACAACTTTCTGGTGTAAAAGGAGTCGCAACGTCTGAAATTCATTAAATGCTGAGCTGGAATTGCGGTTTCGTTGATACAAGAGCAAACAAGGAAAGTGACTATAAAGACCATTCACCTATCGAAGAGTTGTGAAAAACGTTTTGCGATAGTTTTTATATCCGAAATTCTTTAGAAAACATACGTAATATGTATATTATGAAAATAGCTCCAAATTTCGCCTTAGCGGATGAACTTAAGTAAAAAGTTTTTCCGAAAATCGAAATCTTATATTCAGGACAGTATGTATACCAAATTTAGTTAAGATTTGTCCAATAGTTCTTTTTACAGAGTTTCGAATACCTATTAATTAAGATCACCTTATATTATTAAAACAAGCCACAGGCAACTGTTAAAAGTAACAATTATTAATTAAATATTGCGGTACAGTCAAATGACAAAAGATCAAGGTGGTAAACTGACGCTTTTATCGCTTGGTTGGAATTTGGTTTTCATAGGTTGTTTGACCTGGATGTTCCATCTCTCACTATCTGGCCTCCCCATTGAGCTTGGTCAACTCAAATTGGATATGGTTTGGTTTGATGAAATAAGGTAACGTAACACAACGGCAATCTGTCAAAGAGAGATGCTCCGAGAGGACTTTGTGGAAAAACTTGCCTATATTTTGGTGTTGAACACACGAAGAAATTTCATAAAACGTCACTCGGCCAATCCGTTGGTCACGCGCGAACCCAGAATCATCTACCAGTACTTAGAAGTTTTATTTACTCAGTCACTGGTGGGCCGCTCAGTATGGAGAGTTAAATGAAACATATTCGATGCAGACCACCCCTAAAAAGTTTCGAGGGAATCTCCTGAATTTGATCCAGTATTACAGTATTGTATGAATTCACAGCACATTTATGCAGCCGAAATGGTTATTTTAAGTCGTCAACCTACCTGAAATACTCCACAAGTTTTCTGGGGTGGTCTGTCTCAGATATGCCGGTTCCCGTCTCCCACCACCCGAATGCTAGGCCGAATGGCCGAGCGGTGAAGGTGGCAACCTATCGCTCTGGGGATTCGGGTTCGAATCCAGACGGGTCGATAAATCCCCAGGAATTTTTCGGGAGGTGGTCCGTCCGTATATGTCAGGCCCCGTCCCTCACCACCCGGTCGCCACATTGTGGGCCTGACCGAACCCGCAATGGGCTTGCTAAAAGACGCCCTCTGTGGACTTAGTGTCCACAGAGCGGAAAAAGTGAAAAAACTAACCAAATGCGTAGTTCCATTCCTATAACTAGGTCATCTTTCGTGGATGATTAAAAAAGAAGATAAAAGATTAAAGGGCTTTTTTAAATCATCCACGAAGGAGCATTAAAAAAGATCCTCTTAGTGCTCACAGGACGAAGAATCAAAAATTAAAATAAAACTACATTTATGCTTGAACAAGATGTCAACAAAAAAGGAAAAACATGACTTCATTTAGAAGAAGCGCAGATAATCGAAGGAAGTGCAAAAAAATCGACAGAGTAGCAGCATTTGAGAGAGGAAGAAAAGAAACAAATAGAAGCACGAAAGAAGTTCAATATAAAGGAGTTTATTGGCGTATTCTCAAAATTGAATGCGGCTATATTTGAAATAGAGGGTGTGGAATGTTGAATGGTCCAAGAAAGTGGAACGAAAACTTAATAAACTTTTATGATGCTGTCGTAAAATTTATGAAGGAAAAAAGGAAACCTACAAAGCCGATCAGACTAACGAGATTCTTCTCGAAAGCTACACCCAGGACTCTTACTCCTACTTTTATTTCTTCACCGTCGTCTACATTACCCAGGCCTCCTACAACTCCTGATATACCTGCTGATAACTCCAATGACGACATTGATAACCTGAAACCGTTACCACCCTTTGAAGGATTCGGTGACTAAAATATTAATCTCAATAAAGTTCATTTTAAAAAATTTTTATATTTTTAAAATACATAAATTATTGAAACAGTTATTCAAAAATTATAAAATTAATTTACCAGATTTTTTACTTTAGCAAGATACTTTTCATGGATGAAAAGCTTTCTGATGTAACGAATTAGTTGAGTTTTGTCCTCTTTGAATTTATGATATTTGCCCAAACTGACACTCCACAATGATGTGTTATATAAACTGAAAATATCACGTATTTAATAAATTATAATGCAATAAACATCTTTTAAAAGTTATTCAATAATCTAAAGTTCTCATATTGTAAACACATAGGCCTAAATATTATATTTTTAGTGAAAATGTATATCACTGCATTTTTTTAGGATTTAATTTTTCATGCCTTGTATAAATAACCATCATCTAACGTTGTATCATTAATTTTTAGATTCCATTAAAATAAAATAAAATGTAAGTTACAATAAATTTTCATATTATTATAAAATAAATAGATACAACTAAATATATTTTAAAAATTCGATTTATTCTACTTATAGTATTTTAAAGTAAATCTTACTCCCGAAAGCAATGAGCAGCTGTTACTACCCATTCCCGATTAAGTAGAGATCCTCCGCAAACATGTCCATACGGTTCCGCCGAATGAAATCGCAAAGAAACTTGCCAAGGCCAACTTCCTGGAACTGCTTTAGTTCCTCCTACTATTCTATTATTTTCCAAATTAGGATTAAAGTAAGGCCGACCACATATCGTTTTTTTCGATAATCGATAGCCTGAAATGTTTTACTCAATTTACTATATTATGTATTTGAAGATAAGGATTAGATATCTGTAATTTCTTATTCTAACTCCTATTCATATAAATAATTTATAATTTTCAAACGCAAAAGATAATATTTCATTCTTACAATGATGTTTAAATTTTTATTATCTATTTGTATATAAAAATGAAACTAAGCATTTCATTTTCATTCGGGATATTTTCAAAATCTCATATAAAGGATCAAGAGCATCAAATAAAAGAAAAAAGCACTTCAGTTCCCTGAACACTGGGAGTTCGGTCGTGGGTCAGAACGGGCTGGCCAGGTGGAGTTTTCCGGTTTCCTCAACGTCTGTAACGCCTAAATAGGGACCAGTTACCCTTAAAAATGACTTCCCGGAAGGCATTCCCCCAGACAAATCGCCCAAGTCTTGCGTTACAGTAACTTAACTAAACAAACAAATAGTATAGTGAACACGTAATGAATATTAATATTGTTTACTATAATTAGCAATTTATATGCACATTACAATAACCATTTTTTCACAAAAATAAAAGACCTTTTGAAACTTGGAAAAAATATCATTTGCCTATACAAACTTTATAAATTTCTAACAATTAAAAATTTAAAATTTTTTTTTCTATTTACGAAATTCAATAATGTTGCATTTTGAATAATAATTTAAATAATTTTTTACAATTTTTAATTCTATAAAATCTTTTAATACGCCAATGCTATCAAATTGATTAATTCTGACCTTCATGCATTACAAATAAATTTAAATATTTTAAAAATATATTTGAAAAATTGAATTTAAAAATTAATGTAATTTTAGTTGTTTGTATTTTTTTAATAATGTATCTTTATCGTGTTCCTTTTGCCATAAATACTCAATCAATAACCCACACCAAATCTATTAACGACTTAGGTATAATATTTAATAATAAACTTACAATTAAGCTTCAAATTGAGAAAATAAGTTTATCAATCAGGAAATTAGTCTTAAAGAAACAATATCGCTTCATTTTCTCATTAACTGTAATAAGATCTATGTTTTATAATAACTTTCAGATCATAATGAACTAATGTATAGTCTTGCCAATACAAGTTGACAATTGTCAAACCAGACTAATCCCCTTTTAAACTGTTTATAGGAAATAAAAAGGTATCCAATACCCTACGGGTTGCAATAAACAATTAACTATTTACAACTAATAATGCAGTCTCTCCCTGCAACTGCTTGAAAAATTAAATCACTTTTCAACTGTCTGATTTGACGACTGCTAGTTTATATTCGAAGGACTACATTTAGTTCTGCAACAGTTAAATTCAAGAGATTTCTTACAGAAATTTCAAATATTTTTACTGCTAAATAAATTATATAACCTTCGTTATATCTATTTATTCTCCCGAAGCTGTAAAAGTTCGATTAGACATTCCCTCAAGAACGTCTGACCGAATTCTTACAGTATAAAATTCTTCTAGTTGGATAACTATGATAAATTTTCAATTGGCTATTAATATGCCTCAAAACCAAACTTATATTAACGACCACAAATGAGTTTAAAGTAATTGTTTTATCATTTCAAGGCTTTTGAATTCGTCTTTCGTCGAACATATTATTGAATGACCACCAAAAGACAACGACAGAATATTCATGATATCTCCAATATTTTCTATAAAATCAAGTATAGGGAATGAATTTCTCCTCCATCTTTCTGGAAATTTTCAAGGCCACTTTGAGGTTTTCAAATTGAGCTACGATTCACATAAATATAACACAAATGCCCATAAAATTTAAATAGCAGTGTAACACCATTCTCTTTTTCTTTATACAATCAAAGTTTTATTATCGTTAAATACAAGCATATTTGATTTCCTCTATACTGATTAACTGATTAAATCCTTTTGGGAATGCGAGCAGAGAAATTTTTCACTCGTAAATTACATAAAATTAGACATAAACTCACGGAATCCTTAATTTCGAATTGGAAAAATGTAGATCAAAATTGTCTTGACTTTTATATATACAAAATGCATTGAACTAATGAAAGTTACAGTATGTCTGAACAAAAATAAAAAATTTAATTTGTTGAGAATTAACTTCAATAACTTTGATTTGAAATGTTCAAGCCTAAATAAAATCAGATTACTTTCTATTTATATTTGTACAACAAAAAATAAATTAATATACATTAAAGCTTTTTAAAACGACCAAACTCGTCGCCTGAAAAAGGGTGTTTACTGTAAAGAGAGATGATCATTGATCGGATAAAAGGGTAGTCAGCATGAGTTAAGGAAGTTTATAAACAATGAGTCCTGTGTTAAAAATAATTCTGATATAAGAAAATTTGGTCATATAAAGGGGTGGTCATCTGGAGAAATTTTATTGCATATTATAAATTGAAAACTTCTTTTAGAACATTTAGAAACTTAAACGGAAATTATTTATGCCAAAAACTTATTCTAAATTTTAATTATAAAATTTATATGGCTACGATCTGCAGGAGAGATAGTTCTTATCACATATAATAAATTTAATAATGATTTAAAATTATAACAACGATTTACAAGTAATTGTGATAATATTGAATAACAAAATTTGAAGTTCCACTGCCAAATCAAAAACATTTTTGAAAGTTCAATCTGAAGTCGTAACTTGTGGCGGAATATTTATCAGTTAAACAATTAGGAAATGATAAGAAGTGTCCAATGTTCCATAATATTTAATCAAATAAATTCAAAGTTAATTCTTACCTTCTGATAAAAAAAAATTATGTATGGCATTATAAATTATTATATCAATACTTCTATAAAGGAAAAGTGAAAACTTGAATAAAAATTATAAAATGTAGTTAACATATTTATATACGGAATGTACAGACTTACTGCAGTTTTCTTCATCTGTTCCATCTTTACAATCATCCACATAATTACAAATTGAAGTTAAATTTACACAGTTCCTGTTTCTACAAATAAGTTGATTTTCTGAACATGTAACTGAAATGATATTTTAAATTAAATTTATTTTAACTTTATTTCAAATAAACAGACCTTCTTGATACAGGCATAATCAAGAATTTAAGAATAATTACATAATTTCAAAATTTTTTACATTACATTCACGAATTCAATGGAATCTCTTTTTAGAACTACGTGTGATAAATTATAACGGATTTAAACTTTATATTCATAATATATCGTGTAATACGGATCGGGACGTCATTTCTATCCGCGTGGAGTTTTTTTCGGTTTTTCTACACGTGTCTAACACCAAAATATTGGGCAGAAAATCCTCCTGAGAAACATCCCCCTTGGCAGATTACTCTTGTGGTGCGTTGCCTTATTTCACCAAACCATTCATGTACAGTACGGGTCTATTCGCCGGAATAAAGGAAAATCGGGAAATTTATGGACTATATTGCTATATAGTCCATAAAATTAATTCAATAAAATAATTATATACTGTGTAGTAACAAAATAAATAATTTTATAATTATATTTGCAGACTGTTTCATTAAATTTTATTTATGAAACTTGACTGCCAAAAATTATAAAACATGCCAGCAAATATAACAATAAACAAATAAATAAATAAATAAAAATTATAAAATACTTACTTAGTTTATTTATATGATTAAAATTGAGTTTGAACCCGTGAAAACTTCTAACCTCATCTGTATAAAAGACGAAATATAAAGCATTACCAGAAGAAATTATTCGTCTGGGAGGAGTAGAACCACAAGCCTGAATTAGTAAAGGTGATTTGATAGAATCTCCATCAAATATTAATAAGCCATCAAATGCACATTGAAATGAATATTCTATAGAAAAATCTTCAAAGTCGACTTGTATTCTCTAATAAATAAAAATTTATATTTTAAAAGAATAATGATTAAAATTTTAATTATGCTAGATTTATACTCTTATCATCATTTAAATTTTAATTACCGGTACAAGTCATAACCGGTATCTGAACTAACTGTATCAGAATATCCACTACAACAAATGACATTTTCTAAGAATTGGGTTGGGTTGATGGAAATTATGCATCGAAACACACGGGCGATCTGCCAAGAGAGGATACTTCCTGAGAAGACTTTCTATGAGAAACCGGCCGCTATTTAGATGTTACAAACGTGAAGAAACTCCGAAAAACTTTCTTAGTGAGGCGCGAACCCGAAACCAACTATTAGTGTTTTCTGTCCACTCGACATAATATTATTTGGATGGCAGACGTATCACAATGACAGAGTGGCTCACGGTTAAGGTGTCATCCTATCGCTATGGGAAACCGGAAATTGAATCCGGGCGAATGATTCTCCAGAAATTTTTCATGAGTGACTAGTCTGGATGTATTAAGCCCCATCCCTCATCACCCGCCCTGCCCAGATTGAAGTTAAATTTACACAGTTCCTGTTTCTACAAATAAGTTGATTTTCTGAACATGTAACTGAAATGATATTTTAAATTAAATTTATTTTAACTTTATTTCAAATAAACAGACCTTCTTGATACAGGCATAATCAAGAATTTAATGAAACTTGACTGCCAAAAATTATAAAACATGCCAGCAAATATAACAATAAACAAACAAATAAATAAATAAAAATTATAAAATACTTACTTAGTTTATTTATATGATTAAAATTGAGTTTGAACCCGTGAAAACTTCTAACCTCATCTGTATAAAAGACGAAATATAAAGCATTACCAGAAGAAATTATTCGTCTGGGAGGAGTAGAACCACAAGCCTGAATTAGTAAAGGTGATTTGATAGAATCTCCATCAAATATTAATAAGCCATCAAATGCACATTGAAATGAATATTCTATAGAAAAATCTTCAAAGTCGACTTGTATTCTCTAATAAATAAAAATTTATATTTTAAAAGAATAATGATTAAAATTTTAATTATGCTAGATTTATACTCTTATCATCATTTAAATTTTAATTACCGGTACAAGTCATAACCGGTATCTGAACTAACTGTATCAGAATATCCACTACAACAAATGACATTTTCTAAGAATTGGGTTGGGTTGATGGAAATTATGCATCGAAACACACGGGCGATCTGCCAAGAGAGGATACTTCCTGAGAAGACTTTCTATGAGAAACCGGCCGCTATTTAGATGTTACAAACGTGAAGAAACTCCGAAAAACTTTCTTAGTGAGGCGCGAACCCGAAACCAACTATTAGTGTTTTCTGCCCACTCGACATAATATTATTTGGATGACAGAGTGGCTCACGGTTAAGACGTCATCCTATCGCTATGGGAAACCGGAAATTGAATCCGGGTGAATGATTCTCCAGAAATTTTTCATGAGTGACTAGTCTGGATGTATTAAGCCCCATCCCTCATCACCCGCCCTGCCCAGAAATGAATTTCATGAATTTCGATGAGCTTTCGCGTGGTTATTCTAAGCACTAAAAAGTATCCTCCTGTAAAGCCACGGGTTTCATTTATGCGTTTTATTCGAGAAAGTTGAGGTTTTAGGTTATGGCGACGAGTCTCTGTAGGATCCAGGAAATCGATAGATATTGAATTAACAAATAATTTTCATATACGTATATTACGACCAGAAAGATTTTGCGAAAATTAACATCGCTTTTATTTCAATCGAAATTTGAAATACCTCGAACGTTCGATAGTCGGCAAGCAGTAACTGTTAGTTACAGGAAGTAGGCACTCGTCCATAGGATCTATACATAGTGCGTTCACGTCCACCGGGAGTTTTCTGTTTTAATTTTTCTTACAGGGGATACTTTTTAGTGTCCAAGAAAAACCTTGCAGAGCTCATCAGAATCTGTGAAATACACTTCTTAGTCTCTCTTTGGAAATTTCCAGCATTTGTTTTCGTTTGGTGCAGTAGCGTTATGTCTGCTGTAAGTCTGTTGTGCAGTTTAATGAAAAAATTTCAATGCAATGTTATGATTTTATTCTTAACAGTTGACTAAAAATAGTTCTACCTTGTTTGTTTATTTTCATAGTTATTTTATTACATACAGTAATATTTTAATATAAAATGTACAGGTTAAGCCAATGGTACACTAGCCGATTATTAAAATATTTGGATTATTTGAATTAAGATTATTCTATACGTCAATATAGAGTAATCTGAATTCAAATATCCAGGGCTGTGGAGTCGGAGTCGTGGAGTTTTGATGTTTTAGCCGGAGTCGGAGTCGGAGTCGGAGTCGTCAAAAAATCCGCCGACTCCGACTCCTATTTACTTACCAGCTTGTTATGTATATAAAACGGAAAAGTATTGGAATCGTGTCAAATTTGACCCCCATATTTTTCTTGCAAATCTACACGTTTGGAGACCTCCCGAACCCCTCAAAAAAGTCAATAAAAGTGGAAAAATTGTTTGTGTGTTGGCTTCTAATTTGTTTGATTTCTTTATTTTCTGTTCTGAGATATTAATTAGGCTATAGATAATACAGATAGAGATAAATATAGATAAATTTTTAAAAATTATAAATGCTAAAAATGAGTAAAATGTTTATAAGTTCAACCTCTTTCAGATATGATACATTACTCTTTCTATCTCTGAACAACACTGATACAACATACAGTAGACCCTCCTATAACGCTTAGATACGTTCCACTTTATTAGAATTTTACGTTGTAGGAATCCTTAAATACATGAGCCAATCACAGCCCGACACGTGTGAAGTTTACGGACTAAGGCTGTTTGAAAGGTTTTCTTCTATAAAATTAACCGATTCTAGACTAATTCGACTCAACATTTCCAAAACACGTGTAATTTTTTGGGAATAATCCGTATATGCTATAAACAAAAAATTGTAGGATTACTTACCGAGTGTGCACCGTTCGACGTCGCCATTGCTTAAGCTTTTTTTCGTCGCGGAGCAGCGCACCAAACGGCGGGCGATTTCTGATAAGTTATTTTTCTGCGAAAAGTTCGTTGAACTTTGGAGACATCATTAATATAAATAATTTTTATGGCCGTTGAATAAGAAATGTTGCTTTCACAAGAAATGTATAAAATTACAGTGCTGTATTAGATCTTACGGTACCTAATTTACATACTGTACAGACGATAATAAACAACTTACTCGCCTAAACTCTCCGTAGCGTGGCGCTGGACGGCGGAAAGTATATATATAATTATAATAAAGATAAAATAAATTAAGTTAATATATAATTATATATACAGTACCTAATTTATATATAATTAATATATAATTATGCGTACAGTAACTAATTTATATATAATACTGTACAGACGATAGTAAACTCAATTTACCCGCCTAAATTCGCCGTAGCGTGGCGCTGGACGGCGGAAAGTAGTTCGGCTGCNCCCAGCACAGTGGTCATAAACTCTTAAATATATTTTACGTAGTAATAAAAATATAACTTGACATTCGTATAATTTATATTCAAATTGCATCATTTCTATGACCAAGGGCGGCGTAAGGCATGGACGACGTGAGCCACCGCCTATGCCTCGCGTCTGAAGGGCCTCGCGCCTCGAAGGTTTATGCATTACTTAAAAGCCGCGAACGCGACTAAAAAATTTTACTCGTCATGAAACGATAAATAGTTTGTCAAATTTTTATTCATAAAAATGCAGTTTCAACTGCTTTTTATTTTATAAAATCCGTCTTCTTGCGCCACCAGAGGACCTTTTAAACAATAGGTAGTCTGTTAGTGTTAGTCAGTAGAGGTTCAAATTCAATACGAACGTTTGTTTCTTGAAAATTTGATCACGGTTTAAATACAGTATTTACTTTTAATATTACCGATATGTCATCGAAAAGAAAACGTGTTGTATTATCTTTAAAAGACAAATTAAAGTATTTGTTTCGATTATCCGGATTTTTCCTTATCCGGACTACCTTCATCCCCAATTAGTCCGGATAATCGAGGTTCTACTGTATTTTAATAATTCAAGTAATCTTACCTGTTGTTTCCAAAGAAATGGCGAAAGCCATATATATTGTGTTCTTTTGAGTGGTAATTTATATGCTTGATTGATCAAATTGTCAATGTATTTATATATATTGACAATTTGATTAATCAAGCATCTAACTTTCTCGTCGTCTCAAACAAACTTGCAGACTACCATGTTTGTCTCGAATGAAGATCACGTGTCGCGTAAAGACCTTTTCATTGGCTGTGAAGAAACATTCGTTCGATTTTTGCCCTAGAGAGTAGAAGTTCTACCTAAATAAAAATTTGTACGGTAGAAGAGCCATACTATTGTACGACTAATTGAATTTCCAATTTCATGCTGACACATTTTCAGACTTTTATCGTACAACTGAATCGTATAAAAAAATCGGCTAGTGTGTCATTGGCTTTATAACCTTTTCATTGTGTACAGCATATTAAATAAAACATAATTTCTAATTGGAATACTAAACAAACTTATAAACCTATATTTTGATATGTAATTAAGTGTACTAAGGTTATCGGAGTTGCTAATGTTAAATACACTGTTGCTCAAGAAATAAGAAACAAATGAAAAGATCGGCATATCAAATTTATTATATGGAATTAAAATGTAAAATTTACGTGTTTGTATTTCATGCTGATATAGTTAAATTTATCAGTAAATTATCACTCAGTTATGCTAGATTTATATGATTATAATCATTTAAATTTTAATTACAGTCATGACCGGTAACCAAAATCTCTGTATCAGAATTCCCGCTATAAAAAAAAGGAATTCCTAAAGTTTAGATTGGATTGATGGCAATAAAGCAGTACAACACATGGGCGATCTGCCAAGAGGGTATACCTCCCGAGAAGATTTTCTATTGAAAACTGGTCCCTATTTAGGAGTTACACACGTGATGAAACTGCGTGAAAAAATATTACTGAATGCTTTGACATGTTTTAGTTTTTGTAGCTTATATTTGAAAAAAACAACGAATTTATATGCATTTCATTTTCTCAATACAGTACATTTAAAAACGTTGCTGTATTCACTATGCAGATACTTTATGCAGTGCCTTAACTAGCTTTCCATGTGTTCTGTACAAGAATTTATTTTGGGGCTTTTTCTTTTGGAAAAATAAAAAGAAACAAATACGATTTTAAACTTTAGCTAAAAACGCTACGAAATTGGCTCCCAAGGCGGCAAAATTTAAAATTTAAAAATAAAAATATATAATACAGTGGAACCTCGGTATACGTCTGCTTTAGAATACGTCCAATTCGGAATACGTCCTGTTTGGACGAAACAAATTTTGCTCGGTATACGACTTAATTCAATTATACGCGCCATCAATGAACAAGTAGCACTATCGGTGCACTACACTATACTAGACGTTCGCGGTGCTACGGTTTATAACTTTGTTAAATTTTTTCTGATTTTTAATTTGTAAGTAACATTTTATTATTTTTATTAATCATGAATTGCAAAAGGGCAACAGAAAAATAAAAAAATGACTAGAATCACAACGAAACTGAAAAAAGAGATTGTTGAGAAATATGAAGGTGGCACGCGTGTTCGAGATTTAACGAGATTTAACTGTTGCATTCCGTATTCCGAGAACGACGATATCGACAATCGTGAAAAATAAAGACATTATTAAATTTGCTAACGTTGCGAAAGGGGTTAAATCAATTTCTAAACAGAGATC